CCAGGAGGCCCGGCCCCAAGATCTGCCGCTGCTGCTGCTGCTGCTGCTGCTGCTGCTGTTGCAGCCGCCACCATTTAATGTATCAAAAACCCTACCAACCATTTCCCGGGCGCTCTTGGCGCGCCCGGGGTGTTCCGCATGACCTCCAGGACAGCTGCAACGCCCCAAACGACCCGCAGACTTTTGCGGGGCTCTCCACCGAGCGCCCAAGACAGTCAATGAGCGCCTCTAGACGGCCTAAGATGACCCCCGGACTGTCCAAGAGGCCTCCACCTCCAAGCCGCTCCAAGGCAAACGCCATAGCTTTCCCACTGGTTTTTGAATGGCCCAGACAGGGTCACCCAACGGACGTTTCGAGCCCGCGGCCCCAAGAAGCCACCAAGAGGCCCTAGGAGGCCCCCCAAAGGCCCCCAAGAGGCAAACATCCCAACGAACAACCCAGAAGCCTACGGCCCACAACCAAAGCACGGTGGCGGGATGGGCCGAAGGCCATTGGATCCGCCGCCCCCTGCTTGCAGGGGTGCACGGCGTGCTGGATGTTTCAGGTTTTGGTTTTGGTTCTTTTTCTAAAAGAACTCCCCAGTGGGCTTCGGCCCGTCCCGCCAGCCACGCGTAAATTGCCGAAAATCCGTCTGTCAATGCCTTTGTTGCCCCAACTTGGCCCAAGATGGCCTCCAAGACGGCCAAGATGGCCCAAGATGGCCTCCAAGATGCCTCCCAGACAAGATGCCTCCAAGACGGCCCAAGATGCCCTCCAAGACGGCCAAGATGGCCCCAAGAGGCCTCCAAGACGTTCTCCAGGAGAGCCCGAAGAGGCCAAAATCATTGGTTTTCCTTAGGTTTTCGAAGGTTTTTTGCGTTTTCTTCTTTTCGGCCTTCCGACGGCCCAAGAGGCCCCCAAGATCGCCCAAGAGGCCTCCAAGAAGGCCCTATGACGGCCCAAGGGCCCCCCAAGACGGCCCCAAGAGCGCCCCAAGACGGCCCAAGAGGCCTCCAAGACGCCCAACATGGCCTCCAAGACGGCCCTGAAGCGCCCCAAGAGGGCCCCAAGACGGCCCAGAGAGGCCCCCAAGACGGCTCCAGACGGCGTCAGACGGACCAGGAACGCCCTAAGACGGCCAAAGAGACCCCCAGGAAGCCCCCAAAGGCCCCCAAGAGGCCCAAGGAGGCCCCCAAGATGCCTCCAAGAGGCCTCGAAGAGGCCCCCAAGAAGCCCCCAACAGACCCCAAGGGTGCCCCAAGAGACTCCTAACAACCCTCATCCTCCTACTCTATTTCTTCCTCTTCCTCTTCCTGTTCATAATCATTCTCTCCCATGTGTTCCCCGAAAGCTTTCCAAACCGACTCGGGGAACTCATGGTCCGATAGCTTGGCCAAGCTCTAGTCCAACGCCGCCCCCTGCTTGCAGGGGTGCACGGCGTGCTGGATGAGCAGGTTTTGGTTTTGGTTCTTTTTCTAAAAGAACTCCCCAGTGGGCTTCGGCCCGTCCCGCCGGCCACCCGCAAATTTCCGAAAATCCGTCTGTCAATGCCCAAAAACGGCCGTTTCGCTCGGGACATCCTCAAAAAATCGCGAAGATGGCCCAAGATGGCCTCCAAGTCCGCCCGAGATGGTCCAAGACGGCCTCCAAAACGGCCCAAGAGAGTCCAAGACGGCCCAAGACGGCCCAAGAGGCCCCCCAGAGGCCTCCCAGACGGCCCAAGAGGCCTCCAAGAGGTCCTCCAGGAGAGTCCGAAGAGGCCAAAATCATTGATTTTCCTTTGGTTTTTGAAGGATTTTGGCATTTGCGCCTTTTCGGCTCTCCGACGGCTCAAGACGGCCCAAGAAGCCCCCAAGATCGCCCAAGAGGCCCCCAAGAGAGCCCCATGATGGCCCAAGTGGCCTCCAAGATGGCCCCTAGAGGGCCCCAAGAGGGCCCAAGAGGCCTCCAACACGCCCAAGATGGCCTCCCAGACGCCCAAGATGGCCTCCAAGACGGCCCTGGAGCATTCCAAGCGGGCCCCAAGTCGGCCCATAGAGGCCCCCCAAACGGCTTCCGACGGCTTCAGACGTGCCAGGAACCCACCAAGATGGCCGAAGTTGGCTCGAAGCTGGCCCGAGACGGCCCAAAAAGCCCCAAAGATCGCCCAAAGCTTGCCCAAGAGGCCTCCAAGACGGCCAAGATGACCTTCAATATGCCCACGTGTTCCCCGAAGGCTTTCCAAACCGATTCGGGGAACACGTGGTCCGACAGCTTGGCAGGTCTGGCCTCAACGTTCGGCCACATAGGCGCTTCCAACAAGGCAGGGGGCGGCGGTGATTCGCCGTAGGCGTCTTCGATCCGCTGCCCCTTGTTGATTCATCACAAGGGTGCCTTGCGTGCTAGATGCTACCGCTTTTTTTTTCCAAAAGGACTGCCCCTGCCGCTTCGGCCCGTCCACCCAGCCACCTGGAAAACATGCAAGCGACCGCACACGACCTCAACGTCCGCAACACGTTCTCCAAGACGGCCCAATATGGCTTCTAAGATGGTCACGTTGGCCCAAGATGGCTTCCAAGATGGTTCAAGTTGCTTTCCAATCCGCCGAAGAAGCCACTAGGACTGCCCAGGATGGCTCCAAGATGCCTCCGAGTCCGCCCAAGAAAAGTCGAAGGAGGCCCAAGACGGCCCCAGAGGCTCCCAAGACGCCCCCAACACGTCCTCCACGAGGGCGCGAAGAGGCCAATGTCATTGGTGTCTTTAGGTTTTTCCCTACTTAGGCTCTTCCTAGAAAGGTCCTTACTCGCTTGGCTGAAAGGGCCGGGCAGTGGAACCCGTCCCACGCGTTTCCCCTGGTCCCCTGGGAGCCAAGCAGAAACAACATCAAAGGTAAAAGCAAACGCGCGGTTCCCCCAGTTGCGCTCCCTGGGTGCCAAGCAAAAGCAAAAGTAAAGGCAAAAACGAAGGCAAAGCAAGCACATAGCATAGCATAGCATAGCATAGCATAACATAGCATAGCATAGCGCAGCAAAGCATAGCCCAGCATAGCAAAGCATAGCATAGCATGGTGTAGCCTAGCCTAGCCTAGCCTAGCCCAGCATAGCATTGCGCAGCATAGCATAGCATAGCAAAGCAGAGCATAGCGCAGCACAGCATCCTACTAATGTTGCTTTCCTAGAGGCTCCAATTCCTAGGTAGTGTCGCACTGGGATAATGAAAGTTTTAAGCCTTCCGACAGCCCAGGACGGCCCAAGAGGCCTCCAAGATCACCCCAAAGCGGCCCAAGAGCGCCCCCAAACGGCCCTGGAACACCCCAAAAGGGCCCCAAGTCGGCCCAGAAAGGCCGCCAAGACGGCTTCCGACGACGTCAGATGGGCCAAGAGTTCACCAAGACGGCCCAAGATGGCTCCAAAATGGCCCAAGAGGCCCTCAAAAGGTCTCCAAGACAGCCCAAGGGGCCTCCAAGAGGGCCCTCAAGAAGGCCCGACGAGGCCGAAACCATTGAGTGCCCGTTGGTATTTAGAGGATCTTGGCATTTGCGTCTTTCCGGCCCTCCGATGGTCCAAGAGCCCCCAAAGATCAGGCCCCGAAGAAGGCCACAAGACGGCCCAAGAGGCCTCCAAGACGCCCACGCAATGGGGTCTCCAAAACGGCCCTGGAGCACCCCAAGAGGGCCCCAACTCGGCTCATAGAGACCCCCCAAATTGCTCCCGACGGCGTCAGACGGGCCAGGAGGCCACCAAAACTGCTCAATATGGCTCCAAGATGGCACAAGACGGCCCACGGGGCCTCCAAGAGGTTTCCAAGACGGCCCCAAGAGGTTTTTTTTTGTGACATCAACGCCAACGCCTCCAAATCCTTGGACTGATCAATGTCGCGAGCCAGCAGCGGAGGGGGATGCTGGCTCCCCGAATGGCGACCCATTCAGTCTGAGTCGCCTGAATCAAAATCGCAGGCTCGTGGGGCCAAGGGAGGGGCAACGCCCTCCTGCCGCTCGAGCTCGCAACGGGCCTGGCACGACATCTCTCTTAGAGAGTGGGCGGGCGCAGAAAACCGACGAGCAGAGGCATCCGAGCTGCTAGAATCAAGAACGAAAACATCGCTGGCGAGCACAACGCCCACCTCGCCTGTCCCCGACGAGGGCGCAGGCGGGGTGACCATCGCGCTCCGCTGCAACAAAGAAGGCGCTCCACCAAGCGCTCTGCCTTCCACCTCCGCCCCCGAAACAGGAATGGGAGGGGAAGGCTCACCGCACAGCTGCGGGGAGGGCCAGGGCAACGCGCCAGGCGCGAGGGCAGCGGCAGCGCCAGAGCAGGCCGCCTGTCCAGGTTCAACCTGCGCGGCTGAGGCAACGCCTTGGGCCGCGCCGAAGAGGAAGCTAGAAGCTTCCTCCCCAACTTCGAAGTCATACTCCCTGGGCCCAGCCTGATCAGGCTGAGGCTCGAAGGACCTAAGTTCAGAAGATCCCTCCCGCCCCGCCCCAGCTCCGCCCCCCGCTCCACCCCAGGGGAGGGAGGAGGTTGAGCAGGGGCCGCAGGACCAGGGAGATCCTGAGCGGCCTGCAATCCCAGCTCATCAGCATTGGAATCAGGCCTGTTGAAACAGACGAAAGAATCGAGATCAACCGAGACGCCTTGCTTGCGCCGAGAGTAGTGGGGGTGCCTGCCACGACAGAGCTGCACCCGCCCAAGCCTGCCAGCACGAGTCGGAGGAGCACAATTATTAGCCAGGCCTCTGCCTTGGCCTCCAGACCTTTCTTATTCCTTGTCCTCTTCCTCGTCCTCGTCGCCGTCGCCGTCGTCGTCGTCGTCCTCGTCCTCGTCCTCATCGTCGCCGTCGTCGTCGTCATCGTCGTCGTCGTCGGTCGTCCTCCTCCTCCTCGTCGTCGTCCTCCTCCTCCTCGTCGTCCTCCTCGTCGTCCTCCTCGTCCTCGTCCTCGTCCTCGTCCTCGTCCTCGTCCTCCTCCTCCTCGTCCTCCTCTTTCTTTCCCATCCATCCTCCGTCCTCGCGCTGCCCCTGCTGCCGATCGCGGAACGCCCGCCTCGCGCAGCCCAGCGCGCACCTCGCGCCAGGGCCGTGCGGGCGCGGGCGCAGGGCTTGCGGGGATGGGGAGGGGCGAGGCGGGGTGTGCGCGGGGGGCGGGGCGGCGGGGGGCGGGGCAAATTAGGCGCGAAGGATAAGGGGTAGTGAAAAGGAGAAGTGGCGAGGACGAGGCAACGAGGAGGAGCGGAGGAAGAGGGGGATTCACAAACGGGCGCGCGCACACATCTCACCACCTCGTCAAAGATGCTGGGGGTGGGATGCCCGGGTGCGCGCCCGCGCGGAGCTCCCGCGCCCCCCTTCCGCAGCACCTGCCCTGCCTGCGCCCGAGGTGCAACGTCCCTCCCCGCCTCTGCCCCGACGCATCCTTGGTACTCCAGCTCGAATCCGCAGGATTGCCGAAGAGAGCTCTCGAATTCTGCAAGAACTCCGACGGACTCCACGCGACGTATTTCACTTCGGGAACCGTCATGGCTTCTGAAGGCATCTTGAAAATTCCTCACGACACCTGGGCAAAACCTGAAGATTCCTTCATAAGGAAACCCGTGGCTCAATTGTGGAACTCCTTGCGATTCCCTTGGGAATCATTCGCCCTTCTCCGAAGATCCTTAACATTTTAAAAGACACCGTCATGACATCGTTGGGACTCTAGCATACATTCACGCACTTACGGAGGAAGTGCCCATGCTGAATCCATCCTCTTGGATTCCTGAGGACTGTTGCGGTGACGAAGGGCACAAGACCAATAATCCTAAATTGGGGGCCCAACCCGACGAGCGGCGGGAACACTCACGCCAGTTTCGCCAGGGAAGCGATGGAGCGTTTTGCCTCGTTTCGGTGTGCGGAACGTCTTTTCAGGACCCCGCCGAGGGCGTTCGGAAGCTAACAAGGGTCTGTTTAATCTGTGCTGCGCACACGACAGGGGACGTGCAACCCACCTCCTAGCGCTGCTGGGCGGTGGGCGGAGATGAACCTCGCCTGCCCCGTCTTTCGGCGCTCCGCTGAACGCTTCGACCAACAACCGCTCGCGCCTTGTTACTCGGATGTGGTGTCTGGTCCGGGGAGGAGGAGCAGGAGAAGGAGGAGGCGAAGAAGGATGGGAAGACGAGGGGGAGGGGAAGGGGAAGTGAGAGGAGGGGGGGCAACACATGTTAGTGCGATGCTGGCTTCTCAACCAGGAGGGAAAGAGCATGACAAAAACACATTACGCCGCTGACCTAGCCATAGCAGAGTCGGAAAGAGGAGGAGGAGGGGGAGGACGAGAAGGAGGAGGAGGAGGAGGAGGAGGAGGGGGAGGAAGAGGGAGGAGAAGGAGAGATGTGACTGAGGGCGACTGAAAGACGATCAATAACCTGAGAACGGCTGAATGCGACCGCGACGACACCCGCCAAGAATGCGAAACTGTGAACCTAGACCTCCGACATCGTGAATTCTTCAAGATGTAGATCCCGAAAGCTCTCGACCCCCTCCTTGGGATTGGTTTTGCGCCACGGTTCGTTCCTGGATTGTCCTAGAAATTCCGAGACGAGCCTCGAACGCGACGCCTGGGAGTCTGGGGAGAGGTCTGGAGGGCGTGCTGCTGGGCACCTCAAGACAAGGGGCCGAACGACGTCCTTTTCCTGTCCTAGTTCTCTTAGAGATCCTTTGGCAGCGCGCACAAGGGAGTATGGAGAAGGGAGAAGGCTTCTTAGAAGGAGGCTGCTTCTTAGAAGGCACCGGCCCTACATCTACAGAGAAGGCCCGCGCCTTCTAAGCAGCAGGAATGCTTCTAAGAAGCCTTCCTCCTCTCTACCCCCCTCTGCGCGTAGCCGAATCCTGAGGAAGAGCTGGATGAGGAAACGAAGGACACCCCGAGCTTCTTCGGAACCAAACGTTCTCCCATGCTCAGAAGCAAGAATCAGCACGAACCTATACTTTTCGAGGTCCGCTCGGATTTCTTGGGTCGACGCCGGACCTCCCTCTCCGCAGTCCTGGTCAGCGCCACTGGCGCCGCTCCCAGCGCAATCCGCGCGCAAGGGACGGGTGTGCGTGCGTGTATTTGTGTTGGGGGGGATGCCAGCGTTTTCGGGCCCGTCTGCGTCTGACCGTTTGCTATCCAGAAAGCGCGGAGGAGAAACAAGTGTGGCTCTAGCGTAGACTCCAAATATCCGCGCAGCCCCTCGGACCCATGCTGGCTTTCTGAGGAAAGCGCATATCGAGAAACCTTCTAAGTAAAAAATAAAGGTACCCAAGGACACACACTGACATATATACAAATCCCAGGACTCCCCATATTCCTCCATATTTTCCGGAATTTCGTCTTCCCCTCCACTTCCCATATTTCCCTATATTTTCCAGGGAATCGACGATTCATTGTGTCTGCGCTTTTTATTTCTTCTCCTGAATAAGAATGGGTCTCCTGGACCCCTCCCGAAACCCATCCTTGCCAGTTTCCCCAGCCGCGTCCAGTCGTGGCGACGAGACTCCAGAAAAGCCAGAAAGACTCCAGAAACGAAGACGTCGGTGCCCGACGTCGTCGTAGGCTGTGTGGACGGCTGGGCGGGCGAGCGGAAAAGGGCGGTCAGCGAGCGAGAGGGCGTCGCACTGGACGGCTGGGCGAGGACGACCGGGCGAAGAGGACTGGGCGAAGAGGGCCAGCAGGTTGCGACATCCGAACTCTACCCCGCCAACCACTGATCCTCCTGAATCGACGAGAATCGCGGGCAGGGTTCGGATTTCGCCGCCGAGCCAGGCGGGCAGGACCAGGCGAAGGCGACCGCAGGTGAAGAGGACCGCGGGCGACGACGAGGACCTGCCCCCGACAGAGGGGATCAGAGGCAAAGCGCGGATCTGTCTGCGCAGGGTCGCCGCGAGCGCGCGACTGCCGAAGACCCGTAGGTCCGCGCGCGGCGTTTCCAGGGGACCGGGGCCACCTCGCTGCCAGCCTGCTGGCAGAAAACCGCTCCTCCTCCAAGTCCTCCTCCTGCTCCTCCGTACCGCCTGCCTTCCGGCCAGTCCTGCCAGCCGTGCCTCCTTCCTCCCCCCTCCTCCTCCATCCCCCTCCCCGCCTCAACCCTCCCTCCCTCCCTTCTTCTTTTCCTCCTCCTCCTCCTCCTCAGCCTCCTTCTCCTCATCTGCCCCACTCCCCTTCCCCTTCTCCTCCTACTCCTCCTCCTCCTCCTCCTCCTCCTCCTCCTCCTCCTTCTGCTCTGTCCTCGTTCCTCCTCTTCGTCTCCTCTTCCTCGCCTCCCCCTCCCAACTTCCACCTCCCACTCCCCCCTCCTAGATCCACCTCCGCGCCCGGTACGCCCGCGCTCCGTCGGCGCCCGCGAGCCTTCTGGTTGGCCGCCACGCCGCCCGCCACCACTATGGCGGCCACGTCGGGCTCCTGAGCGGATGAAGCAGGAGGAGGAGGAGGAGGAGGAGGAGGAGGAGGAGGAGGAGGAGGAGGACCACGATTTTCGCCCTTCCTCCTGGCGTTGGCCACTCAGCTTCAAGGGCTTCAGGGCATGAGCTTCAAGAACGAGCACGGCGAGAAATAGGGGAAACACGACGATATTTAGCCTAAGGAAGCGGAGAAGGAAACGTGCTGAGGGTGCTGATGATGCGGGCTGTCCATTGGCCCCTAGCACGCTGGCCACGACGAAGGGGCTCGGCTATGCTGGCCTCCTCCTCCTCCTCCTCCTCCTCCTCCTCCTCCTCCCACGCAGTGTCAACTCCCTCACGCCTGCGTTGGGTTAACTCCCATTCCATCAGCGCCTCAGGGAAGCTGAAGCCGTGCAACTGGGCGACTCGGGTGGCGTCAAGGCAGGGCAAGCTCGCCACGCCGGAGCTCCGCTCCGCAACCGCGTCGGCCGAAGCGGATGGCCCTGCAACCACTGTCTGGTTCGCCCCCGCGCTCCAGCGCAGGACCCCAGACAGCTTTGATCGCAATCGACGGCCCGACGGCAAGGCCGACGGTGGCCTTGGAGACAAGCCACGGCGTAATTTGCCTCGAACGTTGTGTCTTGAGACCTAAGGCCCCGTGCAGCCTTACGCACCGATGCCCCGCGCAACTTGCAGAGAAGTAGATCGGATAGCATCTCTCCCGACTCAGCCTGCACAAGAGCCTGGGCCACCGAATGTTCACAGAATGCCCACGTCACCCTGGCTGAAGCAAGGGAAATCCTGAGGAGCAGAAGGTGGAGGCGGAGTAAAAGAGGTCCCCGAGGTTCCCTCGGCGCAAGGATCCTTCTCGAGAGGTTGAACACCTGCTTGCTCGCAGCAGGCATCCAAAAAATCCTGAGAATATTCATCGTCGAATCGAATGTCTGCGGTGCTGGCAATACCATCCGAACCAGGCTGCTCCAAGCATCCGAAAGCAGCCTGGGCTCGGCCATGCCAACTAGCACGGTCTCTAGTAAATCGCTCGCAATCTGAAACAAGCAGAGGCCACTGCCCAGGGATCCCCCAAAGCAAGGCGCCTTTCTTAACGCATTTCTCAGCCATTTCATGTCCGCGAACAATCCACACGTCGTGATCGGTCGAAACATCCGAATCAGAAGTCTGGGATTTCATTTTGTGGACTTGAGCCTGGCGGTCGATGCCAGACCACCACTCCCTCCAGATGTGCTGCCTGGGATTGTTATGGCTGAAAATTTCACCAACGTTGGTGGCGCACACAATGGTCCCGAGGCAGTCGCAAGAAAACCTCTAGGGGATTGTCGGGGTCCCACGCCGAACATCGACTGACCACTCAAAAACGTAGTGCTCATCATCCCAAACTACTTGGTGCGGTGCGCAAGCGAGGGAAACCACACCAAACATGGCTCCTATAATCTGCCCCGCACGTTCGACCGCAACCACCGCCCATCCCACCCTACTCAGGCCACCGTGAGCTTAATCGACGAAGACTTTTGCCGAAGTCTTCCACCCAGGAAAAACCCAACGAAGCGTACCCAGATTTCTTCTGGAGCTTCGCGGTGGGGGAACAACGACAAAAATCGCCGAATAATTCATGCACACCCAAGACATAGCTGGCAAGCGGAGGAGGCAGAGCAGGACGAGGACGAGGAAAAGAAGAAACAAACGATAATGACGCTGCTGCTGCTGCTCAGGAGGAGGAGGATGCTCCCCACCCGATCTGTTTTCCTGTCCAGGGCTGAAGCGTTTCTTGATGACGGCGCAGGCTGAGGCCGCCCGCCGGCTTCATCTTCTGAGACACTAGCGCCGGCGAGTCTCCACCAATTGATGTACACGCAAGCTAGAAAAAGGAAAGGGCGGTACAGGGGACAGAGGACGGAAGCTTGAGCAAAAGCGATGGCAACGGCATCGCGTCGGCCAGACGAGCGAGCAGGAGCAATCATGTTTAGAAATCAAGGCATGCTCCCCGCCCGATCTATTTTCCTGTCCAGGGTTGAAGCGTTTCTTGATGACGGCGCAGGCTGAGGCCGCCCGCTGGCTTCATCTTCTGAGACATTAACGCCGGCGAGTCTCCACCATTCCCCAGACTGGATGCCTGGCAGTCGGAAGAGATCTGTAGAATTCAATCAAAAAACGTCTGCAGACGATTGTGAGGCGAACGCTTAGCTGATCAGCTGCACGCACCTGGCGTGCTCGATACTGGCGGCACTGGAAAGCAGCCAACGGGCAAGGGCACGAGAGACCGACTTGGGGTAGGGCTCAGCAAGCTGCGTCCACTTCATCCCGCCAGGTGCGTTGCCCTGCAGGGTGATGTGCCTCAGGCCAGTCTTTGAGCAGAGCCCGTGGCGGCCGCAGCACCGCTTCTCAAGCGTCCAGGAAGCAGGAGAACAGTTCCAGGCACAGAACTTGGTGGATTTCCTCCATCGGGTTCCGTGCTGGCAATAGTCAGTATTTGCCTGTACACATTTTGACATGGTCATGAGGTGCGTGTGTACGGGTTCTTTCCACATGAGAGAGGTGAGAGGATTCTCTATGCAGACAGGCACGTGATACTTGAGGCAATGCATGATGATCTGTTGAGTGTGCTTAAGAGTGATGTTACCTACCTGCACTCGCTGCGATGCCTGCTCGTTCAATCCGGCTTTGCCGTAGATTGAACACTGATCGCGATAAAAACCATGCGAGGCATTGGACCAGGTGGAGCATGGGGGCGCCAAAAAGATCCCTCGAACCACTCGACTGGAAATCCAGCCCTTGATGACCCTGATGAGGGTCGGGTTGGTCAGGTCAAAAGCTTCATTATCGACGAGATCCCAAAAAACGACGCTCCAGTCTCCCTGGCTCTCCAGCTCGCGAAACACACTCTTTGTCCCGGAGAAAAGCTCGAGAAAAACTTGTCCAGAGCGACGCCCTCGACGCAGGGCTTCGCGGAGAGCACGCTGGCACTCACGAAGGACGGCGGCGTGGCCAAGGCGACGGACTGCTTGACCGGTGTCGCCTGCCCGCCACGCCGCCCCTGTGGTCAAGGGGCCGTTGCCTGAAGACTTGCGGGCAATGCCGGCTGGCACTTCCCCGCGATCACCTCCGCCAGCCTGTCGGCCACCTGCTGCCCGTGCACAAGGATGTGCGTGGGGGCCGCGGCCAGCTCCGCCAGGTACCTGGCGTGCTTCGCGTACCTTTTGCTGGGCCGGTCGGTGGCATGCCGCAGGCGGCGCTGGATGTCGGCCAGCCCGCGGAGGCCCTCCGCCATGTCGCAGCTCGCCGCCCCGTGCCGCACCTGGTAGGGGTCTGGGCCCGGAAGAGCGCGCGGAACTGCCTGGAAGCCCCAGGAGGTCACCAGGAGGTCACCAGGAGGTCCAAGGAGGCCCCAGGAGGCCCACGCAACTCGGAGCTCTGAGACGCCGCGCTCGAGGTGGTCCGGCCCGTTTCGCCTGAGACTTCCTCGCAGCACGTTTCGCCTGAGACATCGTCGCAACTCTGGGGTCCGAGATGCCGCGCGCGAGGTGGTCCAGCCCGTTACGCTGGAGACATCCTCGCAACTCTAGGTTCCGAGATGCCCTGCGCGAGGTGGTCCAGCCCATCTCGCCTGAGACATCCTCGCAACTCTGAGCTCTGAGATGCCGTGCGCAAGGTGTTCCGGCCCGTTTCGCACAAGACATTCTCGCAACTCTGAGCTCTCAGATGTTGCGCAAGAGGTGGTCCAGCCTGGGGGCCCAGAAGACCACATGTTACATATCCTCCCTGGGACCCTGGGAGCCCCAGGAGGCCCCAGAGAGCTTCAGGAGGCCGCAGGACGCCCAGGACAGGTCCCAGGGGTCCGCAGGAGATTCCCAGGAGGCTCCCAGGAGGCCCCAGGAGGCCCCCTATCAGAACGTGTCAAGTTAATATACATCCGGTGCCGATTCGTTCATTTTCCCTGCTCTTGTGGCCCCCCCCCCCATTTTGGGGGGCCCCGACGGCCACATGTTAGATATCCCCCCCTGGGAGCCCCAAGAGGCTTCAGGAAGCCCCAGGTGGGGTCCAGGAGGCCACAGGAGGCCCAGGAGGAAACCCAGGAGGTCACCAGGAGGCCCCAGGAGGCCCCAGGAGGCCCACGCAACTCGGAGCTCTGAAACGCCGCGCTCGAGGTGGTCCGGCCCGTTTCGCCTGAGACTTCCTCGCAGCACGTTTCACCCGAGACATCGTCGCAACTCTGGGGTCCGAAATGCCGCGCGCGAGGTGGTCCAGCCCGTTGCGCTGGAGACATCCTCGCAACTCTGGGCTCCGAGATGCCGTTCGGGATGAAGAGGAGGTGGTGGAGGAGGAGGAGGAGGAAGCATGTTTTAACATGCCATGCCAGCCCGCACTGGACGGGCACGCAATCGACCTTGGAAACCGCAGTGGGTCTAAAAACCCAGTTTGGGGATACTGCACTCCGGCTATTTTTTTATAGCAAGTGGGGAGGCCTTTGCAACCCAACATGGACGGTTCACCAGAACAGCTGATCAACAAGCACTGCGTACATCGCAACGCTTCTTCACCAACGGATGCCCAGTGGTGCCACCTGTCCAAACATGCGTACCGTCTAGGTTTGGGTAAGCAAAGATCACACTCTACCTCCACTTTGGGAAAAAGCGTTAAGGTGGCGGCCATTACTTTGGCAATCATCCAGCATTTCTTTACATCAGATCCACCATCTCAACGGAAGGCTGGGGATGCTTGAGAAGCGCTTGCTTGGCATCTCGATCTGCCGCAGCACTCCCCAAAGCAATCTGGCGCTCATTAATCGGCTGAATCTCGATGTTATCATTGCATGGTCAGAACTGCTTGCTCACCTGCTTGAGTTGTCTGGGGAAATCCGTCCCAAACAACACCTTGAAATCTGGTGCGAATGTTTAAACCCTCTCCTACAAAAACTCTTGCATACGAAGCTTGGGAGAAGTCCCGGATCGGGTGTCGTGAACAAGAGCCGTCAACAACAACGTCACAGTCCTGTAAATCCGTGAGGGCTTCCATCGGTAGAGGGTCCCCCTGAGAATCTTTAAAAACAAGTTCGACTTGAGAATACGGCGCTGGCGAAAAAGATGCCAGGTGATCGAACATCAGCCTGGTCCAAAACAGAGCCTCATCCGAGCTAGAAGCGCACGCCTCCCGAGCCTGTACCACATCTGGGTGCCTGCATTTCCAAATTCTGTGAAACGACGTATATGGCTGTCCACACGTAGGGCAGAGTCCAGCGCTCTGGTTTCCCTAGGCGGCAAATCTGTCTTGGGTCCAGAGTCCGCTACAGAAACAGGTAGTAATCCAAAACTTGGCCCTCGGCTTCAACTTCCCACTACTGCGCACCATAGTCCGAATGGGGTCCACGCACACCCGATCCCCAGAGAAACCAATGAGCTGCTGAGCCATGCGCCGCACATGGTGTCTTCTGGACCCCCTGGGAAAGAAGCGAAGCGACAATGGCAGGGGAGCTATACAAAAGATGGACCTCCCTCTGCAAAGCATCCTCCCAACATCGCCGTGGTGGTGTCGTCGCCGTGTTGTGTCTTATAGCATCGAGGGAAAGCGGGTCCCGAGGGAAGACGGGTCCTGGGCCCCGTGGCTCTCCAGAAGACCAGCTCTTCATCCCCGGTCGGTGTCTGCCAGCCACAGGGCCCGTGGAGGGCCCAGAAGGCCCAAAGAACGGCGAAAAACCTTCGGACCCGTCGCTCTCGGTGAGCGGTCGTCGTCGTCGTCGTCGTCGTCGTCGTCGTCGTCGTCGTCGTCGTCGTCGTCGTCGTCGTCGTCGTCGTCGTCGTCGTCGTCGCCCGTCGCCCGTCGCCGCGCTGAACGCGCTGGCTGCGGGCGGGGAGCGGCGCGGCGGGGAGGCGGCTCCAGCTCCAGCGCCCAAGACGCGGCGCGGGCCGCTCGCTCGCAGAGGTGCCGCACGGCCACGGTCTGCCGGGGGGCGGCGGAAGAGCCGCGAGGGTCAAGGCTGCCTGGGTTCGAGGAGGAGGAGGAAGGAGGAAGGAGAAAGGAGGAAGAGGAGGAGGAGGAGGAGGAGGAGGAGGAGGAGGAGGAGGAGGAGGAGGAAGAGGCACTACCACCCCTGACGGGCAGGGATGGATGGGAGAGGATGGGTGTGGAGGTGAATCAGCAGGTGGTGCAGGTGGTGGTGGGGGGGAGACAGGGCGGGCGCTTCGACCCGCCCTTCCTCGTTTCGCCCGCCGTCCGTGGCCCTCCTTTCGACCTCTTTTTTCGGGTTCCCGTCCTTTCTTCCCCCTTCGTACCTCGTCGGCCCACCAACGGGCAGATCGGCCCATTTTCAGGATTGGCCCCCTCCTGCGGTGCCTTACGGCACCCGCAAGAGGGGGCCACTGGCTGCAGCAACAAACTGGATCAACAGCCACCAGCGAGCGAACGAGCGAGCGAGGAGGGGGAGGAGGAGGAGGAGGAGGAGGAGGAGGACGAGGAGGAGGAGGAGGAGGAGGAGGGGGAGGAGGATGAGGACGAGGAGGAGAAGGAGGAGGGGGAAAAAGAGGAGGAGGAGGAGGAGGAGGAGGAGGATAATAAGGAGGAGGAGAAAAAGGATGAGAAAAAGGAGGAGGAGAAAAAGGAGGAGGAGGAGGAGGAGGAGGAGGAGGAGGAAAAAGAGGAGGAGGAGGAAAAAGAGGAGGAGAAGGAGTTTGCTGGAACCTATTGCGAAAGCACGCGCGTGCACAGCCTCGGCCGTGGAGGAACACGAGCCCCCGCGGCCGCTCAGGCGCTTCGCAGGAGGAGCACGAGACCCCGCAAGCGCGACGCGGCAAGGCGGCGCAGGAGGAACATGAGCCACCGCCCGCCAGGCGCAGGGCGCAGGAGGATCACGGGCTCCCGCGCCGAAGCATTCAGCACGGCTGGCAAGAGAAGCGCGAGCCTCCGCCAGCCATGCAAACGGGGAGCTCACGCGTCAGGCCGAACTCCTGCATGATCGAGTGGCCCTCCTCTCCACTAAGAGCTCCGACCGCGTGACCCATCTCCCAAATTATGTGCTCGAAGCTGGTTTCCTCACGCGCCAAGGCTTTCTTCGCCCGATGGACGCGCGCGGCCGACAAGTCCAGGCAGGCCCGCATCCTGTCGACCTGAAGCGGGACCCTCCACCAGGTCTTAGTGTTGAGCCGCTGCGGAGGCACGAAGGGGGGAGGGACGACGGGAGGAGAGGGGGCAGAGAGGAGGTGGAGGTTATTAGGGTCCACCCACTCCGACTCCTCCATCCCGAGCGCTGTTACCTTCGCCGCGTTGGCCTCTGCGCTTGTCGCCGGGCGTGCGCCGCCGGAGGTCGCCTCGCGAGGGAAGGCGGCAGACGGCGTCTCTGTCGCGGCGGCTGAGACGCGGTGTCGCGGCGGCTAAGAGGCGAGGAAGGAAAAGACATCTGCGCCAGCGAAGGAGAGGCGAGCGCCATCGGCAGCCGGACCTAGACGACGGGGCCCAGGAGCCAGCGCCGGAAAAGCAAAGCCCGACGAGCCGCCGCGAGCGGGGCCGAGGGAGCCGCGAAGACCGGGCAGCAAACGGAGCAGGCCACGACAGCCTCCCACCAGAAACGACCGACGGCCTTGGCGACCGGTCGTGCCCGCGAGGGCTGTCGAAGATGAAAGCAAAGCCCACGAAAGAGTCGACGTAGACCTGAGCGGGCACGCCCCATGGCACGCCCCCTGGCGCGCGGGCCGCGGGCGGGGGCCGGCCGGGGGCGGCGCGCCGGCCACCTGGGGTCGAAATACTGCGGGCCGCTGAGAACAAAGAGGGTCATGATGATGATGATGAGGAGGAGGAGGAGGAGGAGGAGGAGGAGGAGGAGGAGGAGGAGGAGGAGGAGGAGGAGGGGGAAGAGGAGGAGGAGGAGGAGGAGGAGGACGAGGAGGAGGAAGAGGAGGAGGAGGAGGGTCAAGAAGGTCTCCCGCCGCGCACGCGGGCGCGCGACGGACTGCCCCCTGGCGCCGCCTACTCGCGGCGCGGTGCCGTAAGAGCAGGAGGCAATGTAGAAGGAGATCAACTGGAAGATGTCGCCCTCGAGGCCGTGGACGCAGGCCAACTTGCCGCCGACGAAGGAGGCGTCGCCACCGAAGAAGACGCCGTGCCACCAGCCGACCACGGAACGGCAGCGAATCACGACATGGTCGATCAACGCGCCGCGTGGCTGCAAGAGGAGCCCCCCTGCGGGGGGGGGCGGCGCTGCTGGGGTACGTCGGGCACGAGGCGCCAGGCCCCTCTCGACGCGCCTGATCGCATCTTGCTGGTTGAGGCGCGTGGCCTCGTCGGGCGAGAGCCCATCGCACCTCCAGCCAAGCTTCCGCACTGTGCGGACGTCTCCCGCAGCGCAGTGAGACCCGCAGCGCCTGCGACAGTAAACACTGTTGCCCTTGAACACGTCGTGCCCAAGCGCAGCGAAGGCGTCCCCGACCTCCTCGGCCAGAGCAGGTGGCAACAAGGCTGCGGGGGCCGAGGGCTGCGAGCTCCCTTCGAAGGCCAAGGCCGCGCCCAAGGCCATGCCAGCCCTCTGGTCGCCGCAGAGAACCCAGACCTCGCCGAAGGCGCGGAAGTACTCGGCGTTGGGAGCTCTGGCAACACGCGAAGGGCGACATACACGATGAGAGCCAGTTTGCAGCGACTCGAGGGAGGAGCCCGTCGTGGCCGTGACTCCGCATTGGGTGCACTGGTACCGCCCGAGGCTGGCGCAGTAAGCAAGGACGTGGTCCGTACTGCGTGCCACCACAATGGGCCTGGCCTGCTCGCAAGGTGGCCTGGGGACCTCAACGTCGCATCCCCATTGTTTGCGAGCCACCACCTGCAGTGCCGCCCACGAAATGAACTCCAGGACCTTGCGGTGCTGTTTCAGCGCAGCTGTTACCGCCTCAACTACCGACCCAGCCAGCGCGTGAGAGGCCGCACCACAGCGCGCGAAGTAGTCTGCCCAGCCGATGCCTAACCAGTCACGCAGCTCCTGCGGCTCTGTGCCCATAAGCTCCTCCAAGAACCTGTGCGCTGGCGTCCATCGGGACTTGGGAGGGTCCGGCAGAGTGCGCCTGCGGCTGGCCACGAAGATGTCCCGCCACGCTCGAGCATGCTTGGCACGACCCTGCTCGAGCTCGGGACACCAACGCTCTCCTTCCTGGGCGAGCGCCAGCAGGTCAGTGACGAAGCTCTGGTGGTCAGGGAAAGCGTCGAACCCCTCCCTGATCGCGTACCACTCAGCACGGCCGATTGCCTGCACCCTAACTGGGAGCCAAGAGTAAGGATCAAGCTGCACAACAGCTTGTCCACATCTCCGCACCTCGGGAACACCTGAGTCGTAACCAGACCCGTCGGTGTACGAAACGGGGCCCCGAACGCCCTGGGCGTCGCCCCAGAAGCAGACATCATGCCTCTGCGTATCTGCGCGTGGCAGATAAGCAGGGGGAGGAGGAGGAGGAGGAGGAGGAGGAGGAGAGAGGAGGAGGAGGAGGAGGAGGAGGAGGAGGAGACGAGGAGGAGGAGTACGAGGAGGAGGAGGAGGAGGAGGAAGAGGAGGAGGAGGAGGAGGAAGAGGAGGAGGAGGAGGAGGAGGGGGAACATGGAGGGGGAAGAGGAGGAGTAGGAGGGAAGAGACCAGTGTAAACCCAAGACTCGTCACTAATAGTGCAATTGGCCTTTCCTCCAAATACCGGTTCCATAGGCCTCTACAAGGATTTATGTTCATTGAAGAACGTGCCCTGTTGGAAGACAACCACTTGAAAATCCGGAACTGTGCCAGACCACCGTCGTTGGAACTTCGACGCCGCGAATCGCCGTTACTGTTGCCTTTTGGCGATCCTGAGTCGTGCCAAAACGCCGTTCCTGAGACTTCAACACGGCGAATCAACGTGAAGGTTACGCCCTGACGTTCCGAAATTGTGACAATACACCATTTCTGGGACGTTAGCAATGCAAATCCTTGAAACCGCTGCGAACCCTTAGGACGTATGTGCGCGCCGATAAAGCGATCATCTCATTTTGAAAAAGAGCAGCCCTCCATGCGAAAACAACTTTTGCAAACTTTTAACACGAATGTGCTCGGCGCTAGGGCGAACACCACGGTTTGAAAACGGAACGCCATCCATCCGTGAAGCTCTTGCAAAATTTGGAAACAAATGTGCACGGCGCTAAAGCGAGAACCACATGTTGAAAACTGGCCGCCCTCCATCCGTGAAGCTCTTGCAAATTTTCAAAAAGCGAGGGCCACATGTTGAAAACAACCCGACCTCCATCCGTGACGCTGTTTCAAGTTTAAAGCTTCGGACTTCACGATCGTAAATGGTAAATAAGTTTCAAGCTAAACGCCCAGCCCGCCTTTTCGACCAGGACTTATCTGTAACGAAGGGGGATGGAAGAGGTCGTCGTCGTCGTCGTCGCCGAAGCTCGTCCCCGCCGCCGCGCGGCAGGCCTGGAAGGCCGCGGCGACGTCGGCCCGTTGCCGTCGCAGGTCGGCCTCGGGGCGCGCGGCGCGCGGTCTGCGCGTTGTGTGTGTGTGTGTGTGTGTGTGTGTGCGCGTTGTGTGAGTGTGTGTGTGTGTGCGCGTTGTGTGTGTGCTTGTGCGCGTGAAAAACATGAGCGAGGGCGCAACCCACATAATTACACCACGAGGAGGCGGGCGACACCTCCAAGAGGAAATCCTTGGCGCAGAAGCCTGGCCCGCCACGCGCCGATTCCCAGCCCCGCACACGGGGGAACTGCGCTGTGCAGTCGAGATCCTGCCGCGAGGAGCTCTCACGAACAACTACGGTCGTCGTGCTGCCATAGCAAGGGCTCCCAACTTCGCGCTTCGCGCTGCGCGAAGTGCGAAGTGCGAATAACTTCGCGCTCTCGCGCCGCCTCCCAGGAGAAGAGAGGAGGATGAGGGGGAATCGGAGCCGAACCGCGAAGCGCGAAGCGCGAATAACTTCGCGCCCTCGAGGGCGCCCTTGATAACAAAGGGGCGCAGACGACGGGGCGAAGGAGCTCCCCTGGCCACGGCGATCCGCGGCCTCGGACAAGAGCCTCCCGACCCGACTCTCTGAGGAGCGGCCCGAAGACCTGTGGCAGTCGAGGTGCTGCCACGTGGATTGCAAAAAAAGGATTGCAAAAAAAAGGATTGCAAAACAAATGCAAAAAAAACGAAGGATTGCAAAAAAACGAAGGATTGCAATTTAACGAAGGATTGCAATCCTTCTTTTTTCCCAACCATCCTGTGGTGTTGGGTCCTCGTTTTGAAGAGACGGTGCCCGCGTCCTCCCCTCCTCTCCTCCTCCTCCCCCTCCTCCTTCCTCCTCCTCCCTCTCCTCCCTCCTCTCTGCGTTTCACCCACCCATTACAGCGCTTCGTGGCTCCATAGGGAGCTCCACCGAAGGCCCCAGTGGGGGTGTTCGCATGCGGTTCCCCCACCCAGGGCAGCGTTTCGTGGCCCCATAGGGAGCTCCACCGAAGGCCCCAGTGGGGGTGTTCGCATGCGGTTCCCCCACCCAGGGCAGCGTTTCGTGGCCCCATAGGGAGCTCCACCGAAGGCCCCAGTGGGGGTGTTCGCATGCGGTTCCCCCACCCAGGGCAGCGTTTCGTAGCCCCATAGGGAGCTCCACCGAAGGCCCCAGTGGGGGTGTTCGCATGCGGTTCCCCCACCCAGGGCAGCGTTTCGTGGCCCCATAGGGAGCTCCACCGAAGGCCCCAGTGGGGGTGTTCGCATGCGGTTCCCCCACCCAGGGCAGCGTTTCGTGGCCCCATAGGGAGCTCCACCGAAGGCCCCAGTGGGGGTGTTCGCATGCGGTTCCCCCACCCAGGGCAGCGTTTCGTAGCCCCATAGGGAGCTCCACCGAAGGCCCCAGTGGGGGTGTTCGCATGCGGTTCCCCCACCCAGGGCAGCGTTTCGTAGCCCCATAGGGAGCTCCACCGAAGGCCCCAGTGGGGGTGTTCGCATGCGGTTCCCCCACCCAGGGCAGCGTTTCGTGGCCCCATAGGGAGCTCCACCGAAGGCCCCAGTGGGGGTGTTCGCATGCGGTTCCCCCACCCAGGGCAGCGTTTCGTGGCCCCATAGGGAGCTCCACCGAAGGCCCCAGTGGGGGTGTTCGCATGCGGTTCCCCCACCCAGGGCAGCGTTTCGTAGCCCCATAGGGAGCTCCACCGAAGGCCCCAGTGGGGGTGTTCGCATGCGGTTCCCCCACCCAGGGCAGCGTTTCGTGGCCCCATAGGGAGCTCCACCGAAGGCCCCAGTGGGGGTGTTCGCATGCGGTTCCCCCACCCAGGGCAGCGTTTCGTGGCCCCATAGGGAGCTCCACCGAAGGCCCCAGTGGGGGTGTTCGCATGCGGTTCCCCCACCCAGGGCAGCGTTTCGTAGCCCCATAGGGAGCTCCACCGAAGGCCCCAGTGGGGGTGTTCGCATGCGGTTCCCCCACCCAGGGCAGCGTTTCGTGGCCCCATAGGGAGCTCCACCGAAGGCCCCAGTGGGGGTGTTCGCATGCGGTTCCCCCACCCAGGGCAGCGTTTCGTAGCCCCATAGGGAGCTCCACCGAAGGCCCCAGTGGGGGTGTTCGCATGCGGTTCCCCCACCCAGGGCAGCGTTTCGTGGCCCCATAGGGAGCTCCACCGAAGGCCCCAGTGGGGGTGTTCGCATGCGGTTCCCCCACCCAGGGCAGCGTTTCGTAGCCCCATAGGGAGCTCCACCGAAGGCCCCAGTGGGGGTGTTCGCATGCGGTTCCCCCACCCAGGGCAGCGTTTCGTGGCCCCATAGGGAGCTCCACCGAAGGCCCCAGTGGGGGTGTTCGCATGCGGTTCCCCCACCCAGGGCAGCGTTTCGTAGCCCCATAGGGAGCTCCACCGAAGGCCCCAGTGGGGGTGTTCGCATGCGGTTCCCCCACCCAGGGCAGCGTTTCGTGGCCCCATAGGGAGCTCCACCGAAGGCCCCAGTGTGTTCGCATGCGGTTCCCCCACCCAGGGCAGCGTTTCGTAGGGAGCTCCACCCCCAGTGGCTGCTCTCGCATGCGGTTCCCCCACCCAGGGCAGCGCTTCGTGGCCCCATGGGGAGCTCCACCGAAAGCCCCCGTGGCGCAGTTCGCATGCGCTTCCCCCACCCAGGGCAGCGTTTCGTGGCACCATAGGGAGCTCCACCGAAGGCCCCAGTGGCGCAGTTCGCATGCGGTTCCCCCACCCAGGGCAGCGTTTCGTAGCCCCATAGGGAGCTCCACCGAAGGCCCGCCCCGGTGGCGCAGTCCGCATGCGGTTCCCCCATCCAAGGCAGCGCTTCGTGGCCCCATATGGAGCCCCACCGAAAGCGGCACCCACAACGCGTTACCAACAATTGCTTATGGTTGGGTCTTTCGCCAGGATAATTTTTGCATTTTTTTTTGCGTGCCAGTGACAGTGACAGCGGCAGCCCCGCATGGGGAGCACCTGCGCGGGTGCAGCGGGTATCGGGTCGGGCGAAAGGGGGGGATAGCAAAGGGGGGGTTTGAGAATCAGCTCGCGTAGCTGATCTTCCCGGCGCCTCCCGGCGCCGGAGGCGATCATGTATCGAGGAATGGGCCCCTCGGTGAGGCCGAAACCAACTGCATGCAGCAAATTTCGTGACCCCCCCTTTCCCAATCCCCCCCTTTCTCCCGACCCGAGGGTAGGCGCCCGGGCGCCAGCAGAGGAGGGAAGCCTCTGCGGAGAGGGCTGGCTGCTCAGTGGTGTGGAGGCAAGGGCTCCCAACTTCGCGCTTCGCGCTGCGCGAAGCGCGAATAACTTCGCGCTCTCGCGCCGCCCTCCCAAAGGGAGAATAGGAGGACGAGGAGGAGGGGGAGAAGGAACGAGGACCGCGAAGCGCGAAGCGCGAATAACTTCGCGCCCTCGTGGGAGCCCTTGTGGAGGCGGTGACGCGGGAGGCCGCGCAGGCGAGGTGGGCAGACGGGCGGAGGCGGTTGCAACGAAGCTCCTCCTTTCGGCACCGAAGGCGCCCGGGTACGCGAAGAGCGCCACAGCCAGGGGGACGTAAGACCTGGGTACAGGGGACTCGGAAATCCCCGACGAGGTCGTCAAAAAAATGACGAGGCCGAGCCTGCATCTTGACGAGGCCTCCTGCTGCAGACATCCCACGAAACTCCTCCTCGTCAAAATCCGAGGCGCGGTCGTCAAAAAACGATGGCGAACGCGAGTCCTGGCAAACCCGGGTCTTACGCTCCCCCGACACAGGATAGACCACGGAGGGACCCAAGCAGCACACGCCGAAACCAAACCGCTCCAATGATTCCGGCGTCTCGACTGCACTGTCACCCTGGGACCGGTGTGTTTGTTTGGTTCCGACACCCCCGACGTCCTGACAAAATTGCGGCTTGCGATGCGGCCATCCTCAGCTTGCCAGGGAAATCAAGTTCTCGCTCTGAATGCAAACACGACGCGACGACAACCACGGGGATGACAACAACGACGACGGCAACGACGACGGCGGCGACCGGCAAGGACGACCGACACTGCACCGACCGAAGACACATGCGTCTTCGAATGTGGAGTTTTGGTTGCGCATCAGTCTTCGCGGCCTTCGGCTGTCTTCAGCGGTTTCGGGCGGCCCTTTCCTCGAAAGCTGGACGTCTTCGTTCAACAAGGCAGCCGTAGTCCGCACATAGTCGAACACAAAGACGAAACTGCATAATCAATTGTCTCCAGCAAGTTGCCGTAATTACCCGGCTGCAGACATACTCTGAATAACTCCTGCTCCCTCATTTGTGAAACGGAGAACTGAAAACGCACATGAAACGAAATTGCAACTCTGTGAAACAAACGAAAGATTACAGAACTCACATCTTGAAGCCTGCTGCCATGCTTCCATCTCCCCTCTGCTCCTGCTCCTGCTCCCCTTCTCAACCCTACTCTTCGTCACTCTCTTCTTCCTCCTGCTCCTCCTGCTCCTCCTGCTCCTCCCTCCCCGCCCCCATCCCCAATCCCTCCTCCCCCTGCTCCTTCCGCATGCTCTCTCCTCTGTCCTTCCTCCGCCGCCAGCCTAACCAATCTACCTCCTAATCTCTTCCACCACCACCCCGTCCTCCTCCTTCTCCTCCTCCTCCTCCTCCTCTTCCATCCCTTTCCCTTCTCAGCACCTCCTCCCTATCGCACCTCCAGACGCGTCGGCAGGGCAGGCCGGGCGGTGCGCCTGAGACTTCTTCACCACTTCTGATCTTGAAGCTTGTTGAGAGCTGCAACAGCTTCGAGGACGGAGGGCGGCCGTTTGTTCCCAGAAAGGGCGGGGGCCCAAGGCTCGGATGTCAAGCGCGGTGCAAGCGCACCCGGCTTGTCTTCCTCCTCCTCCGCATTTCTGAGTAGAGAGGAAGCGGGTCCTGAGGGAAACGGGTCCTGGAGCCCCAGGCCCCCCTCCAAGACGAATTCTTCCTCCTGGGTCGTTTCCTGACGCTCCCGGGAAGGCCCCGAGAGCCCGAAAACGGCGAAAAGCCCCAAGGCCCGTTTTCCCCAGGACCCGCTTCCCACATAGCGAACTTCCTCCCCCGTCTGGCCGCCAGCCTCTGGCCGCACGAAGACGACGACGACGACGACGACGACGACGGCGGCGGCGGCGGCGACGACGACGGCGACGGCGACGGCGACGGCGACGATTGGGCCGCGATAGTTGGGGGGGGCGAGGGAGGGGCAGCGAAGGCTGCAGAAAAAGGGCCCCGTAGGGCTCCTGAAGGGGCCCTCTCGGGCCCAGGAAGGAGCTCGTGAGGCCCGAGGAGTGCACTTTCCCCCCCCCCCCCCCCCATGTACAATCGGACCCAAGCCAAAAGAGCATCCCTCCAGAAGACGAAGCCCTCCGCGCCGGCAAAGACGCACAGAACATCCAGGGGTACCTTCCCAACGGTGCACAAAGACGCCCGACGAACACGAAGCACATCAGGGTACCCTCCCGAGCCGACCTCCCGCGGAAGGGAAGGAAGGAGGAGGAGGAGGAGGAAGGAGGAGGAGGAGGAGGAGGAGGAGGAGGAGGAGGTGGAGGAGGAGGAGGAGGAGGAGGAGGAGGGGAGGAGGAGGAGGGAGGAAGAGGAGGAGGAGGATCAGGAGGAGGCGGAGGAGACACGGCCGGCCTCGGCCCCGGTACCCGGGGGCGACACCGCCGGACCGTCCGACGGTGGCCCCCCCCCCCCCCCCCCCCCGAAGTGACGCCCAAGACGACGGGGCCGCGCCGCCTCCGGGAGGCTGGCCGCCAGGTCGGCGGGCAGCGCCTTCTCCACGAGGGTCCTCGCCGCGGCCACGGGGGGGGGCGGCGGCGCAGGCCCTCGAGGGCCTCCGAAGGATCTCGGCGCGCCTCCGTCGGCGCTCCGGTGGTGGGCGGAGGGACGGAGAGGAGGGAGTGGGGGAAGGAGGGAGGGAACGAGGGAGGGAGGAGGGAAGGAGGAGGGAGGAGGGAGGGAGGGAGGGAGGATGAAGGAAGAGGGATGAGAAGGGGGAGGGAGGGAGGAAGGAGTAGTAGGAGCAGGAAACAGTGGCGCAGTCATTACCGATGATGACCACATTAAAGAAACAAACCTCTACTGCCACCTAGCTTGGCCCCTATGCGCTGACATGAGCGTGGCGAGAGTAGCAACAACAAGGCGGGGAGGTGGGGAAGGGAAGTGTGACCGCCTCTCTTTTCCGATCCTTCGTTTCCAAAGCAGCAGCCTTCTCAGCAGCAAAGCAGTCGAGTGTGGCCCTCAGGAGCCTCGTCCTACAACGCATGGTGTCCTCGACGAGGTGCACTTGGTGTTGGGAGGCCTCGGGGATCTTGCACATATTCGCTGCGCAATCTGCCAGCTCGTCAGCTACGGTGTTGGCTAAAACCTGGCTGCTTAGAGAGCGGCCAGCTACAATGTCGCCCCCATCCTGGTGAATTCTGGCGAACAGAATAGTTACATGGCGATGAGCTCTATCACGCACGAATTCGGCTATATTAGCACACAAATCAGCATCTGGACCCTTCGGGCTGAAGTAGGTCTGGGCATACCAACTCTCAGCCAGAAATTCAAAATCAACTATCCGCTGGCCCCCTTGCGTGGCCAACAGGCTGCGAGGGTGAAGATTACAGCTCCCTGTTCCAGTTGCAGTTTCCAGTTTCCATTGTTACAGTCCTGCTTTCTGCTTCCTTTCTGTTAATTCTTGCTGTCCTCGCGAGGGGTGGGAGCCCCAAGCGGGATTATTTTCCACGCACTGGTAAGGTTCTCAAAGTTCTTGGGGGGGCGTGGGACACGTAAAAATACTTGATACTCGCTCCCCTGAAGCCATAATCCTTAGTAGATTACGCCATATTCGCGTCCCCGAGGCCATATACCCTGGTAAATTACACAATCGTCGCGTCCCCGAAGCCATCATCTTTCCTAAATTACACGATATTCGCGCCCCCGAAGCCATAAGCCCTAGCACATAAAACAACATTCGCGGCCCCGAAACAACACACCCATGTAAAATACTTAATATTCGCGCCCCCGAGGCCATGAACCCTCGTAAATTACGCGGTGCTCGCGTATCCGAATCCACAAACCCGGGTAAATTATACTATATTCGCGTCCCCAGAGGCTATACAACCTTGTACATATGATATGCCACTTACCAATTGCCCTAGCATGAGGTTCTGGCATCGTTTCGCGACGGCGCCGAGAAAATATAACATAGCTCTGGCACACCCCATTATGATTGAAAGGGGGCCGGCGGCAAGGGGCGAAACCCTTGGAGATGGCGTGCAAGGCAATATGGAATTAATTTCAACTCCCCTCTCGCAGCAACGTGGCCACCGAAGGGGCGAAAAATCGAGGACTCCAGGACCAGAGGGGAAAGAGAGCAGAACTTAGCAGCAGCCAGGGCCACGCGTCGAATCCTGGGCCACCTCGAGTCAGGTCCACCCGAGGCCTCACCAGAAACCAAGACGGGACAGTCGCGCGAACCGCTGCCGAGGCACCAAGAGCTCAGCCTCGTTCACGCCCGTCGCAGTCCAGGAATCGAAGCCTAGGGGCTCGGGGGACTCCGGTCCAGGGCTCTGGGGTGAGTCCCCTAGGCCAAAAAAGAACAACGGCCGTTTTGAATTGGGTTGTGGCTTGAAGAACTAATTCATCAGAGGACTCGTATGCTTTAGAACCAAATTTTCTCCTGCACTCCCAATAGCTGTAGGAGAGGGTATCAGGTTCTCACAGCATCTGTAACACAGATTGTCCCCTGCGAATCGTTTGATCAAATCCTGTTTGCGAGTCTTTGGCCAACATCCAACTGACGCAATCATTGTCATCGTCTCGCTGTGTTGCTCTGTGTCCCCATGTGTCCCTCTGTGTTTCTCTGTCCCTCTGTATCTCTGTGTCCCTCTGTGTCCCTCTGTGTTTCTCTGTGCCCCTCTGTGTCCCTCCGTGCCCCTATGTGTCCCTCTGCGTTTCTCTGTGCCCCTCTGTGTCCCTTTGTGTCTCTCTGTGTCTCTCTGTGTCCCTATGTGTCCCTCTGTGTTTCTCTGTCCCTCTGTGTCCCTCTGTGTCTCTCTGTGTCTCTCTGTGTCCCTATGTGTCCCTCTGTGTTGCCCTATGTCCATCCGTGTTTCTCTGTGTCTCTCTGCCTCTCTGTGTCCCTCCGTGTTTCTCTGTGTCCCTCTGTGTCCTCTGGGGGACCGGCGATGTGACGCCGACGGAGCTTTCTTGTCATCATTGCCCCTTCTGCTTTCTTGTCATCACGTGAACGATCCAAACGCAATCAAAACGTGTATTAAGGACGGGTGGTAAGGACAAGACCCTTTGAGGCCGAAATTGGGATTTTTGAGCGGCGGGCGACAAGTGAAAACGGCACAAGACGGGCCGCAGAGGCAAGGACACAAGGGCACCCTGGATGAAGGCGCGCGTCCTTACTAGGCGCGTTGACTGCACGGCCAGGCCTTGGACAGAAGAACATCCTTCAAGAACGTGAGGCCCTCCATCGGCCCACGTCCCAAACCGAAACATAGTCGAGGGTGCCCTCCCCCAAGATGCACGACAACATCCAACAAGCACGAAGAACACGAGGGTTGCCCTCCCCGAACCGATCTCGATCTTATACTAGGCGACGAGCCCAGGGGGGAAATGAGAAGGGGAAGGCCTTCTCAGAAGGCCGCGGGACTTCTTAGAAGTCCGGGGGGCTTCTGAGACGTTTCCTTGGCCTATTTCGAATACAGACAGAACTTCTGAGAAGCCCTCTCAGAAGTCCAGAAACTTCTCAGAAGCCTCGGAAGTCCCGCCCCTTCTCATTTCCCCCCCGCGCCCGCCGCCGATATACCTCGGTCTGGCCGTAAAACGTGTCTTTTGCGGGAGGGCACATCGACCCTGATCGGCGGCCTACGCAGGCCGCCAGCGCGGCACACCGCGCGGAGGCGAGGGCGTTCACGCGCGACATCACGCGGGCAGCCTGCGCGCGACTGTCCGCGCGGGCGACCTCGGTGTTGACGTCCCTCGCTCGTCTCCCGTGGGACGGGCGACGACACGAGGCGGCCCGTGTGCTCGCGCTCGCCCCGCGAGCGAGCCTCACCGAGGTCTTCAGGCCCGAGAAGGAGAAGTCGCAGCCTCGCGCGCGCGCGCGCGCCAGCGCACGCGCGAGGCCCCAGCAGGCCTCCGCTCTCTGCCTCCCTCGCCTCCCTGGCGGCGCCCCGCGCGGAGTTTTCGAGGAGGCCTTCGGAAGGCCTCGAGGGCGTCGGGGGTCGAGGATCGAGGGCTCGAGGAATCGAGGGTTCGAAGGCTCGAGGGAGGCCTTTGCTCTCTTTCGTGGGCCCTCGCCTCCCCCTGGGGCCCGCTTCTGCCCGTGGGCACGACGCTCCTGTGCCCGCTCGCCTCTCTGAGCATCGTTTGCCCGATCCTCCATCCTAACTGGCGTGGCCTCGGCCCCACTGGCCGACGTGCCCCCTGGATGGGGGTGTGGGCGATCCCCTTCGGGCTTCGAGGGCCTATCCCCAACTGGAGGGGGGTGGGGGCATGATGGGCTGAGGTACAGTCGAGCTGCTGCAAGAAGGAATGCAAAAATGAGGAAGGACGCCCCTCTTTGGCACCCAAAGGGCCTGGGTGTACGAGGAGGCCCAGAGGGACAGCCATGGAAGAATCTGCGGAACGTCGAGCTCCTTCCGAACCCAAACCGCTCCTTCCGAACCCAAACCGTTAATGATTCCACCGTCCTGACCGTACGGGCGGCCCCCTCCGGGCTTCGAGGGGCTCATCCCCAGCCAGAGAGGGGGCATGGTGGGGCTGAGATGCCATGACCTGGTGGGCTGGTGGGGATGGGGATACGCTGAAACGGTACTGCCGCTCTGCTCCTGCTCCTAGGCCAACCAACGTCGCGCATCGCGCCCCGAGATACGCGACGCGCGGTTACCCTCGCGCCTCCTGTCCACAGCCCTCAAGAATGGCGCCTCTCCAACCCAGGCCGCAATGCGCGACGCGCGATTATCTTCGCGCCCCTCGGAATGACCTGGGATACCATGGTCTGGCAGGATCAGTCAGCATCGAATCGGCAAATCGGATCAAATCGACATGCACGTCGAATCGAGCTGCATCGGCACGGAATCAAGATCGAATCGGATCGGCCGCGCCAGGATGCACAGCACCGCTCTGCAAGCATCAGGCCGCATCGGATCGTCGGACTATCGGACTCGGATCGCGCAAGCCAAAATCGGCATCGAATCGGATCGACCGGACCGGAATGGACCCTGGGATCATCCGCCACTGTGCTTCTGGGCACGGAGTGGGCGTGTCCTCGGGCGCCCTGCCTGATCCCTGGAGCCTCGACCCTCAGTCCTGAGGAGGATTGAGGGTCCTGGACCCCAATCTCGGAAATTTGGCGGGACTTCCCGCCGGTCCCCTGTCCGTGGCGAGCGAGGGGGGGGAAGTGCGAAGGAGAAAGACTTCTCAGAAGGTCCGGAAGTCGCCCGGCCTTCTGAGAAGTGGTTTCTAAGCCCTCCCCGAAGACACAGAAAACTTCTCACTTCCCCCCCTCGCTCGCCGCCGAGCGGTTCCCCTGGGCTCCCCCGCGGCGTGTCGCATGACTTCAGCGATGCCAGCGCTCTGCCCCTGTGCCTGCGACCCCCTGCTCCCTCCACCTGGGCTGCTGCAGCAGCTGCTCCCGCTCCAGTTCTGCTCTCCCTCTCCTGCTCTCTCCCTCCTCCTCGTCCTGCTCCCACTCCTAACATCTTCCCTCGTCCTCCTCCTCCTCCTCCTCCTCCTCCACCCTTATGCTCTCTCCCTCCTCCTCCTCCTCCTCCTCCTCCTCCTCCTCCTCTTCCTTCTCCTCCTCCTCCTCCTCCTCCTCCTCCTCCTCCTCCCCCTCCTCCCCCTTCTGCTTTCGCCCTCCTCCTCGCCCTGCTCCCCCTCCTGCTCTGTTTTCTTTTTTCCTCCTCGGACGCGGTCTAACCGATCCCTCGCAAACCATCCCCTTCCGTGACGTCACCCTCGCCCCTCAAGCTTCCCTCTGGCCGTATGCATACGTCTTGGGGCGAGGCGAGGGGACGTCACAGAATGGGACGGTTTGCTAGGGGTCGGTTAGACCGCCCCTGACCTCCTCCTCCTCCTCCTCCTCCTCCTCCTCCTCCTCCTCCTCTTCCTCTTCTCTTCTCTTCTCCTCCTCCCCCCTCAGGCGGAAGAGGAAGCGCGAAGGGAACGGTCGACGGTACCAGGCCCCGCAGCTTCCGAGAAGTCGCCAAAAGCTCCCCGATAAGCCCCAAGGACCCCCCAGGTAAGGGAGGGAGGGCACCAGCTCACCAACAAAAGCATTCACCTGCCTACACGCCGTCTGAAAGCTTTCCTGAGAGCAAGCCCCCCCCCCCCGACGCACCCCTTGCAACAAGGCGCGATTTCGGCGGCCCCCGAAATCCAAGAGGCAGGGAGCCATCTGACTCTGGCTGGCGGGGGTGAATACTTGACACAGGCTGATGAGGATGAGCCATGCTGCAGACTGATCGTACATGGATTCCGTATGGGCATCGTGTCTGGGTGGGCTGATGGGGATACGCGAAAGGGGAAGAAGTACGGTCGGACCTAGGCCCAAAAACACATCCGTCAAGAACATGAGACCCTCCCACGGCCAAAACGAAGAACCTTCGCGGGCACCCTCCCCCAGGATGCACAATACCATCCAACAAACACGAAGAACACTAGGGTACCCTCTCCGAACCGACCTCGATCTTATACCTCGGTCCGACTGTAAGCACAACTCCGCCGACCCTCGAACAGAAGGGGGTAGCGGCCCCGACATCTCGGTTTCCTGGAAATCTTTTTGAACACGCATAGCTCCTCGTGAAGCCTGCCAAGTGCAGGCCAGAACAACTACTGCGGCAGAGGTACAACACACGGGCCGGAAAGCAACCAGCAGGCGCGCAACCGCAGGCAGACTACGCAGACGAGAGGGGAGCACAAGACGACGGGGAGCAGGGCCACCGCCACCGCCAGGAGCAGGCGGAGGAGGAGGAGGACCAGTGCAAACCCCTCTTCATATGCCCCTGCAAGGGTTCATTTCCACAGAAGGAATTGCCCCGTTGGGGGACAACCGTGTGAAAATCCTGAAACGTGCCCAAACAACATTCTCAGGACTCCAACGCCACGAGTTTACCTGATTGTGAGGTCATGGCGATTCTGAATCGTGCCAGAACACCACTCCTGGGACTTCAGCACAGGGAGTCGACGTAACTGTTGCGCCTGACAAGCATCATCTGGTCTTACACACCATTTCTGATACGATAACCATGATAACTAGTGAAACGTCTACGAACTTGCAATACCCCAGTGCGACCCTACCTAGAAGTTGGAGCCCCTAGGAAAGCAGCATTAGTTGCTATGCTATGCCATGCTGTACTGCGCTATGCTATGCCATGCTATGCTATGCTAAGCTGCGCTATGCTGTGCTGTGCTATGCTATGCTAAGCTATGCTATGTCATGCTGCGCTGTGCTATGCTAAGTTATGCTATGCTATGCTATGCTATGCTAAGATGCGCTATGCTATGCTATGCTATGCTATGCTATGCTATGTCATGCCATGCCATGCTATGCTATGTTGCGCTATGCTATGCTATGCTATGCTTGGCTATGCTATGGTTTTAGCTATGCTATGCTATGCTAGTGCAGCGCTGCGCTATGCTAAGGTAAGCTAAGCTAACCCTCTAGGCAGAGGCTAGGTAGGGAATCACACCCATGCTAAGCTAAGCTAAGGGGACGTAACTGGGGGAACCGCGGGGCGGATACTGGGGGAACCGCCCGGGGCGGTGTGCACTGCCCGGCCCCTTTAAGAAAGATAATAAGAACCCTCTAGGCAGAGCCTAGGTAGGGAAAAAAGAATGTACGCGGCGCTAGAACGAGAACCATATTTTGAAAAGGAACCGACTTCAATCCGTGAAGCTCTTGCCAATGTTTTGAACGAATGTGCGCGGCGCTAAAGTGAGAATCCTAGTCTGAAGAAAAGACCTGCCCTCAATTGGTGAAACTATTGCTCTTGCAAACTGTCGAAACGAATGTACGCAACACCAAAACGAGAACCGCATTAAAAAAACGCCCCCCTTCAATCCGTGAAACTCTGGTATTTTCCAGACGAATGCGCGCGGCGCTAAGGCGAGAACCACATTTTGAAAACCACACGCCCTCAATCCGTGAAGCTCCTGCACATGTGTAAAACGAATGTACGCGGCGCCAAGGCGAGAGCCGCATTGTCAAAACGACCCACCCTCAATCCGTGAAAGCTCTTGCAAATGTCAAAAGCGAATGTGCGCAGATCTAAGGCGAGAGCCACATGTTGAAAGCCATCCGCACTCCAGTTGTGAAGCTGCTTCCAATGTTTCAGCTTTAGGGTCACAGGTGGTGCAGAAGGCTCAGGCGAAACGCCCAGCCCCCCCTTTCGACCGGCCTCGGGGTGCGACAGGGAGAAGTTATGTATAAGGAAACGGAATGGAGGAGAGCGGACGAGGAGAGCAGCAGGAGGAGAGCTGGCGACACCGTCGCGGCGCTCTCGACGTGGGTCGGGGGGGGGGGAAGGAAGCGAGGGGGCGGCGCCCGTCTGCAAGATGGGGTCGCGCGTCTTTGAGAGCGGCACGGGGAAGGTGTGCACGTCGGGATCGCCCTCCTCGCTGGAGGGTGTGGACTATGTACGTGCGTGCCGTTGTATTTACGCATGCGTAACAAATCACACGCACAAACACACGAGATAAGGGACGTGCCCTTGAGAGCGGTGTGTATATGTACAAACAAAAAGGGAGAGAGAGAGAGAGAGAGAGAGAGCGGGAGAGGGAGAGAGAGGTAGAGAGGGAGAGAGAGAGAGAGACGGATAGATAACGCAAGTTTTTTCAAATAAAGCTGTACGTTTGCAGATGTGTGCATGATATAGGAACGCATACATATGGAGAGAGAGAGAGAGAGAGAGAGAAACAAAAAAAGAGAGAGACTAGAGAAAGAGAGACAGAGAAAAAGAGACGGGGGACCGAGACGAAAGACCAATTATGGGAATCCACCGATCCGGCGTGTGAGTTTCTGAGAGCGTGGGCTTGAGCTCGCTCAAGCTTCGTTCTGTCGGGGGGGAGGGGCTGACGATATTCAGGCCCAGAAGGGAGGAGTGGGGGAGGGGGCTGACGCCATTCAGGCCCGGGAGGAGGAGGGGGGGGGGCTGACGGGCCCGGAGGGGGGGGGGCTGACGCCATTGGGGCTGACGGGGAGGGAGGAGGGAGGGTGCTGACGCCATTCGGACCCGGGAGGGAGGGGGCCAGGAACGAGGAGGGGGGGGGGGCTTCGCTCTGTCAGGGGGGGAGGAGGGCTGACGCCATTCAGGCCCAGGAGGGAAGAGGGGGGGAGGGGCTGACGCCATTCAGACCCGGGAGGGAGGGGGGGGGGCTTCGCTCTGTCGCGGGGGGAGGGGGGCTGACGCCAGTCAGGCCCGGTAGGGAGGAGCGGGGAGGGAGGAGGGGGGGGGGCTGACGCCATTCAGGCCCAGGAGGGAGGAGGGGGGGGATGGGGGGAGGGGAGCGCCATGCGGAGGAGGGGGGGGCGGAACTCCATGGCTGACGCCATTCAGGCCCGGGAGGAGGAAATCGGGGGGAGGGGAGGGGGGGGGGGCGCTGACGCCATGGCTGACACCATCCAGGAGGGGATCTGGGGGGGAGGAGGGGGGCTGACGCCATGGCTGACGCCACTCAGGCCCGGGAGAGGAGAGGGGGGGGGAGGGCCGACGCCATGGCTGACGCCATTCACGCCCGGGACGGGGGAGTCGGGGGCTGACGCCATGGCTGACGCCATTCAGGCCCGGAAGGTGGGAGGGGACATCCCATGAGTTTGGCTGTTCACGCGATATCGTCACTATCGAATATCCGAAGGTTGCCCAAGCGAGTTCAACATCCTTATCTTATGAGGATGTCTCGAGCGAGTGCTCTACGTTTCAACATAAAAAGGTCATCCGTTGCACACATAATCGGTAGCACCCCGGATAGGCGGCACTGGGGAGGCCACTACAATACTGGGAGAACATGGACTACCACGCATGCGGCTGCGCGGGCCATGCTTTCCACCTCTTTCCTGATTTTCCCTCCCTATTCTACTTCCACCCCGCCTTTCCGACCTCCTGCTCAAACCCCTTCCCGACTTTCTGAACTGCTCCTGCTCGTCAACCTCCCAGTTATCCGTCTTCCTTGTCCTCCTCCCCCTCGTGTTCCTTAGACTCCCCCTTCCTCCTGCTCCTCTTCCCCCTCATCGCCGTCGTCGTCGTCGTCGTCGTCGTCGTCGTCGTCGTCATCGTCGTCGCCGTCTCTACCTCCCCATTCTCACCCTTTCCCCGTCTCTCGCCGCCTTCCTCGAAGGAGACATAGAGAGAGAGAGAGAGAGAGAGAAGGAAGAGGAGGGAGGGAAGGACAAAAGGAAAGATCGAGAGGGGACGGGCCCAGGGGGGGGGGACCCAGCCAGGAGAACGAGGAGAACGAGGACGATGAGGAAGCACAGTACGGGGTAAGATGAAGCGGAGGGTGGCAAGCCGATGAGGAGTAACATGAGGAAACTGTTCGGACGTCTTTTCCAATCCCGACCCGTGGGGAGCCCAGGCTGCGACCCAGTGGGGTGGTGTCCCTCAGGATGTCTCAGGATTCGCCAGGGTTCCGAGAGCATCCCAGGACCCACTAGACTTCCTCAGGATTCCTCACGGTAGCCTCTGGGGCCCAGCGGCAACGGCGACCGGCGGCGACGAGCGGGCCAGGCCGACACCGGGGCCCAGTTACCTCAGAAGAGAAGTAAGCGTCACTGAGGGTAAGCTTCATTCGAGGCCCAACAGCGACGGCGGCGACGGGCGGGGCATAGGCCGGGGCATGAAAAGCGCGAGAAGGGGCCCGAACGTGCCAAGACCAGGACACACTCGGACCGGGACTCGGCGGCAAGCGAGGGGGGAAATGAGGAGAAGGCCTTCTCAGACGGCGGCGGGGCTGCCTTCCCCGAAGACACCGCAAACTTCTCAGAAGGCCAGGGGACTGTCGAGTCTTCTGAGAAGGCCCGCCCCTTCTCGCTTCCCCCCGGGCTCGCCGCCGCGTGTCGGGCGCCACAGCCGTCCCAGAGCGCTGCGGAGCGCTCTGAGAGCGCTCTGGAGCCGCCCGAAAGATGGGCCGTGCGAGTGCCAGGGGCCGCGCTGTACACACACAGGGCAGGTTTCGAAGCTGTTCGCGGCAGCTCTCTGGTGGGGATCGTTCGAAGCAGAGGTGCGTGCATTGTCTGGGCCGCCAGGGGCCTCCAGGGATGTCTGGAGGCCTCAGGAAAATGAGAGAGAGGGGGAGATAGAGGGAGAGATGGAGAGAGGGAAAGACAGAGAGAGAGAGACAGATGAAGAGAGAGAGAGAGAGAGAGAGATAGAAGAGAGAGAGAGAGAGAGAGAGAGACATATATGTGTGTATATATTACCTACCATGTAAAGGAAGAGGGGAAGGATGAAGGGAGGGAAGGAAGGGGAGGAGAGGGCGAGAGGGAGGCGAGGGGGGAAAGTATCCTCAACCACCAAGCCTCCAGAAGGCTCGATTTGGGCCCAAACCTTGTTGGATATCGGCCTCCGGCCAGGACGCCAGCACACATGCACCGAGATCTGGGCCTACATTTGGCCCCGAGAGGCTTGGCGGAGGTGAACCCAATAGGTCCTTCGCATCAGGAGGAAGAGACCAGGCCCGAATTTCCAAGTTCGGGTCCTTCGATCCGGGCGAATGCAAACCGCTTGGACAAACAAGCGCCCGCTTCCGAGACGCAAAGACTGCGTTTGAATGTGAAACTGCTGTCGGGGGCGCGGGGAGCGACGCCGCTCCGCCTCTTGAACGCATCGGACTGGTGCTCTGCACCAGCCCCACCCCGCATCGATGGCCATACCTCCGAGGCCACTTTCGGGGAGACGTAAGACCCGGTTACGGGGGACTCGGAAATCCCCGACGAGGTCGTCAAAAAAATGACGAGGCCGAGCCTGCATTTTGACGAGGCCTCCCGCTGCAGACATCCAACGAAACTCCTACTTGTCAAAATCCGAGACGCGGTCGTCAAAAAACGATGGCGAACCCGAGTCCTGGCAAACCCGGGTCTTACGCTCCCCCGACACTTGCACTACCGCGCCCTTCGTGCGGATCTCGCGCCTCGCGCCCTTGGCTCTCAGCTGGCGCCCCCTGAGCCTCGCCAACGCTCGGACGTCCCGCCCCCGTGCATCTTTCGACTCCGCGCGTGCGTCGTTTCGCCAGATGAATCTGCCCCTCGATGGTCATGATGACCATCGAGGGTTTGGACTCCCGAAAAAGGAACCCGAGTTATCCCTGACCCGAGTTACCCCTGATGATTCGGGGCTCTGGACGCCCGAGTTATCCGGGGTAACTCGGGTCCGGGGTAACTCGGGTTCGGATTCCCGAAAAACGAACCCGAGTTATCCCTGACCCGAGTTACCCCTGATGATTCGGGGCTCTGATCATCGTCAAGAACACATGGCACGCGTCCGACCGATACCAAGGAGAGGCCAAGATGCCCCGGCTTCCGCCTCGGGTCGCCGAGGCGCGGCGCGAGAGCCTGCGGCACTGCACGCTCTGCTTCGCCCGAGGGGGGGCGGGCGCCGAGACCGCTGTGGACTACACGCAAGTGCCGCTCTTGCGTGTAGTGGACGCAGGCTCTCAGAGCGCGTGCTGGCGCCACCGTGCGCGTGTCCGCAGAAGCGCCATGAGGGCCGACGCAGACGGCGCGCCATCGACGGTACTGAGCGGGGTAATCAAATAACTCGAGAAGGGGATCGGCTGCATGATTGATTTACCCGTAAATTGGCTCTTCGGTCGAATCCGCCGACCCTGTCGGCGTGTGTGTGTGTGTGTGTGTGTGTGTGTGTGTGTGTGTGTGTGAGAGTGTGGGGGGTCTGTCTGGTCCCGTCGATGGGAGGGTCCTTCCCCGTCGGGCGGGAGATAGCACTCTCCCGTCGTCGGGGGCAGGAGTCCAGGGATTGAGGGAAATCGACCCACGTCGTAATCACGTCAAAGGGAAGCCCGTTCCCTTTGTCCCTTCTCCGGCGGGGGGGGGGGTCCGGGAAATGGGGGGGGGGATGGGGGGTCAGATTCGCATCGCCTCTGGGGGTCCTCCTCTCCAACGCCGGTCCTCCTGTGGTCCTCCTCTGGTCCTTCTCCCGAGGTGGGGGGGGGGAGTCGCAGGGGAGGGGGGGGACAGATACGCATCCGTCCCTGGGGGTCCTGCTCCCCCTCCCCTCCCCTCTCCCACGCCGGTCCTCCTCTGGTCCTCCTCCTGGGGGGGGGGGTCCCAGGAAGGGGGGGTCCTCCTCCTCCTCCTCCTCCTCCTCCTCCTCCTCCTCCTTCCTATCACTGCCTCCTCCTCCTCCTCCTCCTCCTCCTCCTCCTGGTCGTCGTCGATGTCTTTTAGGGTCGGCGGCACCGGCCGTCAAACCTTCACAATCTACGGAGAATACGTCGAATGCTCCGTATCGTAGATTCGACGGAAAAATAAAACATGGGGGTAAATCAAATATGTTGTCGATCCCCTCCTCGTACAGTGGTCCCGAGGATCATCGACGAGAGGGGCCGAGGGCGATGGACCGAGCGTCGAGGGCGGCGGCGGTTGGAGGCGGCAAGGGGGGGG